GATGGAAGGTGTACTTGTGAAATTAAATCCAGGATTGCCATGGCAAAAGCTGCATTTAGCAAGAAGAAGAATCTTTTTACCAGCAAATTGGACTTAAATTTGAGGAAGAAACTAGTGAAATGCTACATTTGGAGCATAGCTCTGTATGGGGCTGAAACATGGACACTTAGGGCAGTAGATCAGAAACATCTGGAAAGTTTCGAAATGTGGTGTTGGAGAAGAATGGAGAAGATCAGTTGGACCGATTATGTGAGAAATGAAGAAGTGTTAATTAGAGTCAGTGAGCAGAGGAATATCCTACATGAAATAAGAAAACGGAAGGCTAATTGGATTGGTCATGTTTTACGCAGAAACTGCCTTCTAAAAGAAGCTATCGAAGGAAAGATAGACGGGCGGATAGAAGTGACAAGAAGACGAGGAAGAAGACGTAAGAAGATGCTGGATGACCTTGGGGACAGAAGAGAATACTGTCATTTGAAGGAGAAAGCTCTAGATCGCATTACGTGGAGGAATTGTTTTGAAAGAGACTGTGGACCTGTGGTCTTGACAGATTACTGATGATGATGGTGATATTCTGTATTTGTGTGGCTTCTTACTTGTACAGACAGGACGACAGACAATTTGGCATTATCCTTAATAGAAAGTTAAAAAAACAAAGGAGAATTGGCATCTAGTTTAAAAGGCGTTGATAGTCAGACCCACGGGAATCACTTAGTCTATTACAATGAACAGTACAAGGGGGGCGGGAGTAGGGTGGAGGCACATAGTCATAATGATACCGTAATCCTACCTTCCCTTACTAAATGGGAAAAATGTGTTAAGGATCGAAGTCATCAAGATTGTAACCATTATTTTTTAACTCATGGTATTCATTTTAACTGAGACTCCCATCAAGTCTAGACTCCGTCATCGCTGGGTTGACCTCAGACACTCCTGCAGGTGAATTTGGATCACCAAGCATTCTATCTACTCCAGTTCTCTTCAACTGTACTAAAATTGATATTCGTGACGTCAGCAAATTTCGTGACCACCATCATTCTGCTATAAATAGGCCGAAATGTTTGCGTGTTCTTTACATTGGTTAAAATATTGATTCCATTGTCTTTCATGCATGGTACGAAGTGTTAGATGCCGACACGCAAAAATGGATTTTAGTTCAAAACTACAACCCGATTAAGGTTCAAGAGTTCAAATAAAGAAGCTGTTCTCTTACGGTGGGAAGAGTTTAGAAGTAGCTAATATCACGGTCACGATAAAATGACATACCATTCGAATGCTTATCACCGTAAACTCGGTGATTCCATTACGATCACCAGCTTCATTGTATTCTTTACAAGAACTTTTCAACCTACGTAAGACGTCTAGGATATGCTTATAATTATAAGGGTTAAATACGAGTAAAAAAGTAAAGTTGTCTCCGCACAATGTGAAACCAAGCCATAAAGACTATCAGAAACGAAAGGTATACTTCCACGTGTTGTTAATCACGCCGCTAGGTGGAGGTGAATGGTCAGCTTCACACCCTTGCCGCTTTAACCCCGGGGGAAAGAGCCCTCGCTATCCATTGGATAGGCGGCTGGGTAGGCCCCAGTGCCGGTCTGGACGACGTGGAGAAAATTCTTGACCTTACCGGGTCTCGAACTCCGACCAGCCGGTCGTCCAGCCCGTAGCCAGTCGCTATACGGACTGCGCTATCCCGGCTACATAGTTTATGAATGTACAGACAAAAAAGAACCGAAAATACAAACGATATGTGACTAATGTAAAGCAACGTGGAAAAGTTTGAGAAATGGTGTCCTACTGGATTTGTTCATACGTATGTTTTGATTATGGAAATTTGCAGACGCACAGCGATGTTTGCAGGGTTTCTTGAAGTAATTACTGGAACGATAAATAATAAAGAGAACCTCGAGACGGCACGAATAGCCGGTCTTGTAATGCCCTATAAGTTGGAAGCACATACAGGAAAGCAGGCGTCATCATTTCCTCTTTGTATGTGGTTGTAACTTCGTTGAAGATTCACATTACGATTTTGTAGATTATTTTGTTCTACACCGTGTAGTCTGGTCAATGGATACTCGTATCAATGCTTCGATGAAGTACACAGCTTCCCTTTTCACTTCCACCTTGAAACCGAACAAGATAGCTCTTGGTACGGATTTTCTGCTTTGTACTGGGGAGCAGGCCGGTTAGAATTCCGGCAGAGGCTCCCATTATTAATGTCTCAGGTCCTTCGTGGCTTTCTTCATTTTCTCCAAGTGAATGCCGGGATTGTAGAACCACCTTCAAACAGGCCACGACTGCTTTCTTCCACGTTCTTTCAATTTAATCATTCTCCAATCGTCACGTTACTCGACGCTACTTACAGAACTGTCAAATGAACCATAAATAAATATCTTCTGAAAATGGAAAGAATATTTCTATCCGAAACGCTGATAACCCCCTAATATGATGTCATTCTTTAGGACTGCAAATACGACCTTTTTTTTATCCTTTTAATATTTCAGATATCTAAGTGTCCAGGAGATGGCTTGAAGCCCAGGAAAATGTTTGCAGAACGACGTATGAAGGAAGAAAGCACTAGAGAAAAGTCAGAAAATATTAAAGAAAATCGTGGGCTCATCATTAGACACGAGTTTGACCAAGTGACGAAACGAAAGGGGCAGATGAACAAACTGCGGCAAGGGGTGACAGCCGGACTCGAGGCTGCAGGGCGGGACCTGGAGTTGCGCAGAGAAAAGTAAGTTGTCAAAAAGTTCTGTGTCGAAGTCATTTGTTCCTTCGTTTCATTTGGCTTGACAATGAACAAATATTCTTCCATTCTCAATTTGAAGCACTAATCCCTTCCGAATGTTTGAAAAGTTAGTTCCTGTCCAACAGCAAGAATACGAAATCTAAATTATAGAAATTGGGAAATAATATTTGTTTATTCTGAGAATCACATATAAGATATAGTCTGTGTGCAAATGCTGAGATTGTTAATGTTAAACTGTGTTTCGAAGGGCTAGGAATTCCAACAATCAGACGTGTCCTACTCGTGCTACCTGATCGTCGGTTAAGTGGGCTCAGTAAAGAAACTGAAGATTTTCAAAAGCATATAAAACAATGACATTTTAATTTAATTTCTAATCTGTTGTTACAAAATTAATGAACAATGAATGTCATTTTATTCCACATATATTTTATTGCATCTCTGTTTATTTCGTTTTGAAGAGCATATCGCTAAAATGTGGCTATCATTTCATACACACTCTTCCAACCTTGTTCCGCAGTTTTCCCAGTGCTCGCCTCGCCATGTGTCTTGATATCGCTGAGATTTTCTTCAGAATTGCGATCGTGAGGTTACCGATCTCGTAGTGTACACTCTCGCTTTGCGGTATTCCCAAAGGAAATAATCACAGGCAGAGAGATCAGGTGAACATGCGGGCCACGGAAGCTCGCCACATAGAGCACTAAAGCGCTCCGGAATATTTCCCCAATGATACCCTCGGATGCCCTCGCTGTATTCGTAGTTGCACCATGATGTTAGAACCCGAAGGCCGATAGCTCAATTCCACGACGACTCAGTTAAGCTAGCAAATGACATGGTTCCCACCATCCCATCCTCAGGGGTTGCCAACATAACTAAAAAGTATACAACTATAAAAATTCACTTCTTGGAAAAAGAGAGTTTGAGAAAATGACGGATGGAACACGAGACATAAAGTGTTCAGGATCATCGAATTAAAAGACCCTGTGTTTAAAATATCTGTGAGATAAATAAGGATATAAGTCTTAGTTAGAGTAGGCTGGGAAAGACATGTCAATTATTGTATGTATATATACACATGACTACATATGGGGGCTGTTCGGAAAGTAATTTCCAGTGAGCTGTCAATAAAAGAAGCGATGAGAGAAATTTTATTAGTATATAAAAAATACGTTCATATTTAAGCTCCTTCTCAAGATAGTCACCGCCGGAACTGAGGTACTTGTATCACTGAACAGGTTTTTTTAAGCCTGTGTCAAAGAAGTCTGCCGCTTGTGAGCTCGGTCACTTTTCGACACCTTCCATCAACAGCTCATTACTGTTGAAGCGTCGTAATCCCAACCGGTTCTTCAGGTAGATAAACAGGTGAGAGTCGCTCAGAGCGATATCAGAATTCTAAGGAGGGTGGTCAAACAACTCCCAGTTAAAATGCTTCAGCAGTGCTCGAGTGCGAGCAGCTGAATGCGGACGCGCATTGTCATAAAGGGTCACTATACCATATGTCAGCATGCCATGATTTTTGTTCAGAATGACCCCATACAATATTTTTTCGTACTTCGCAATACAGTTCTGATGTTATTAGAGTCCTTTCTTGCATAAATTCCACCATCAGCATTTCTTTCCTGTCCCAGAAAGCAGTTGCCATCAACTCTCTCGCAGACAGACGACGTTTGTTTAAGTTTTCAGCTTGTCTGCTGAATGTGTATGCATCCAGTGTTTGACTGATGACTGCTATTTGGCTTCAAAATCCACAAATTAAATCCAGGTTCCATCAACTGTTACTCGTAAGATATGATTGAGAAATTCATCTCTATTTTTGTGGTATCGCTCTAACGAAGCCAAAGTCGAAGCCACACGCAGGTATAACACACGCAGTCACAGGAGTAAGACACAACACAAAGCACAATACACATGAAAGTAGGAAGAATACTCCGACAGAAGAAGATAGGTGTGACTCGCGTACTGAAATACGACATAAGGATGACAAATCCTGAACAGTTTTAACATTTTTAATATTTAAAATTTAGCAATATATATGACGAATATATATTTTACTTATTTTAGTATAAAAACAACAGGGCATGCAAATGCAGTAGTTCGACGTACATCGAAAAGCACCTGAAGATGGCACTTTAGTACCGAAACATGTAGTGCAAGAGAGAAGAGTAAGGTGAATAAATGTGTGCACTGTAAGACGGTCAGAATAAATCATGGACATAAATCAGTGCAACAGGACGCTAAAATATAACATCAAGAATTTTCTCTTCTCCACGTCGTCCAGACCGGCTCTGGGGACCCCCAAAACACTTATACAATGGGTAACGAGGGCTTTATCCTCCGAGGGGGGGGGGGTAAAGCGGCCGGTGCGTTAGGCTGACCACTCAGCTCCAACTAATGTCCAAGTAAAGAAAATGTGGATCTATATATCAACTTCCCCATACGCCTTCATGGCGTAGTGATTAGTTAGTTAAGCACATGGACAACTGTACCTTTTTAGCTTTTACCAAAGAAGGTACAGGGAATTTGTATGGCTGTTAAAATGTTACTTTTATAGGTTAAGTTTCTGTAATAACGAAAGAAAGAACGTGTAGGGTGCATCTCCTTTCAACTCCTTGGTTTAAATGACACTTCTAAACCTCATTAGGTAGGCCTGTGTAGAAATATCAGGAATTCTACTTCTTCTTTGTGTTATTGCATAACTATATAAATTAAAACAGTATTCAGCTATATATATACCCGGCTCAGCTTGCAGCCACCTGCTCACGCTGGTTTCTCGCTCGCGGATTTTTCAACCCTGAAGATGGAAGCGATACGTTCCTCCGAAACATCAGTTCATACAAGATATTCATGGTGCCACATCCCAGAGGGCGGCATTCTTCAACCTCATAATTAATTGTAAAGCTCGAATTTATATTATTTTTCATGCTTAAACTTTTAAAGACAATTTGTGTGTAGCGTTAAATTAATTTTCTTTCGCCACTTGCAGATTGCGATGTATGCTTCTAGGAGAAGAACAAGCTTGGACAAAGGAGTACGTAGAGAAGGAACAGAGAGTAAACGAGAAGAGACTGGAAGAAATGAGGCTTAAAGTTGAAGAAATTCGTAACAAAAGGGAGGCAGAACGACAAAAACTTGTACAAGAGAAACGGATTCAGCAATATTTGTAAGTCACTAGAAAACTGAAATTAGAAAGTAACTAGATGAAAAGTCGTGTTAGTAGCCAGCTTCCCACTGCGGCGGCCACAGTTCGAGCTCGGGTCAGTATATGTAGACAAAGTGGCATTGGGGCAGGTTTTCTCGAGTACTTCGGTGTCCCCTGCCAATCTTCATTCTACCGATTGCTCCACAATCATTATTATCATCTATCATCTGGCGTTCGTACACTAGGCCAAATAGTTGCCGCAGTACCTCAGTCTCACCCAATGAGAAAAAAAATATATAAAAAACTCAATTGAATTGAGTCCTTGAGAAGCTGTCACGCAGCTAGTCATGAAATTCCAAGACTGTTAACGATTCTGGAAGATTTTTACTGTGTTCAGAGGACCTTAACATTGATGCCTATTGTAGGCCAGATAAATCTCTCAATATCCTTACACCACACTGATTAAGTTCTGCATGTATTTCTCATTTCTGCAGTGAGTGCCATATGTTTTGCTTTGTTTTAATCACAAGAATATTTTTCTGTGAAACTGTATAAGTTATGAAGTGCATCATTGTGCATATTTTTCCACCTTCGTGTTACCTCTTCTCTCTCAGTTCCAATTATTCTCCTCCGAATCCTACACTCAGACACTCTCAATTTATGTTCTCCTCCAGTTAGTAACCAAGTTTCACACTCATACAAGCAGAATCCGTACCTTCGGAATTTCAAGGAATATAAATTCGGGAGATACTTACTAGTAGGGTGAACAGTGTCAGTTTGCATCATCACCTACCTGATGCGTATTGTAAAGGATTTGATCAACGCGTTGCCAGGCAACAGCTCTGTAAAAACGGTCCAACACGCAACAATAGAGGAAGCTGTTTTTTTCTGTAGATCAGACAGACGCGCCAATAGACTGGTTGGATAGCGATCACGTGATATGTGTTTGCTGTAGGTGCTTGTCCGTTCCGCGGCTATATAAGTAAGTGACAGAATTCGTTCAGGGAAGTTACAAGTAGTAGTAGTAGTAGTAGTAGTAGCAGCAGCAGCAGCAGCAGCAGCAGCAGTAGTAGTAGTAGTAGTAGTAGTAGTAGTGGCAGAAGCACGAGAATAAGTAAGCAAGCAGTAAGCTCGAGGAGTACAGACGAGTACAAGAAGTCAGCCTGTGACGATTTAACGTGTGATCTGAGGACTTTATGTGTGCTATAGTGCGTTGGTATTGGGAGTGTGTGATTTGGGGAAACTTCTATAGTTCCTGTGTTATAAGTTTGTGAAGACTAGTGGAGACAGACTGAAGAGAGTAGCGTGGAGTGCTTTGTTGTGTGAAAGTCAGTAACAGTGTTGTAATTAATTGTAGTTACGACCAGTAAGTGATCAGTAAATGCAATTACCAATCCGAACCCCATCTTAATCATTGAGACACTTGAAAATATTTATCTAAATGCAAGGGGAAGCATCGCTGCTGTATAAACTCAATGCTGAGGGTGTCGTTAAACAAAAAAATTAAAATAAAGGAAAAAAAGGAAAAGTAAATTATGACGTGTGTTGTCTAAGGTGAAACATAATTTTCGATAATAGATTTTATCCAAAATAAATAGAAATTTCGGCCAAAGAAGAATTTAACAAATTGCCAGTCTATTTTATTTCCATTTTAATTCCTCTTTCCACCCGTTTACTTTTCAAGTTAGAGTCTCTGGTGATAATGCATCGTGATCTTCCGGGGAGTGCCTAAGTTTTCATGGCCCATAATATGGTGATTTATTAAAAGCACAGTAGTATTAGTTGTGTAGGGGCCACAATACCCTGCATTAATAGACTTGGCCTTCTACTGGATTAACAGTGAAAGATGTGAGGACCTGCGGTCCCTGAAGTCTCAGCGGTTCACAAAGGAGGCAAAGAGAGGACAGGAATACCAGATGAAGGAGCAAGAGTATATTAAGGAGCAGGAAGGAGAGGTTGAGAGGATGTGGGCAGAAATGACCCAGAAGGAATATGAGGCCAAGGTAAGAAAACCCTACTGTTCTAATAGGCATAAACAGTTGTATATATATATTATATATTATATATATATATAATATACGTGTATATCAGTGAGCTACATACTGAAAGAAAAAACTGACTTTGAATTTTGAAGTGGGGTTCGTGTTTTCTCGTTACCAGACATTACAAGGTTTCCAGTTTAAACAAGATTATGCATACTTTATGTATAATTATCTCGTATCATCATCTGAATTCATTAGCTGCTGTAAAGATGCCTTCTCGTACGCACAGATTGTGAATGCAGAGAATAGAAGAAGAATATGAAAGGGAACTGCCAGGGTTTTTCTTAACAAAATGCGCCTTTATTCAGTCTCCTGGCCAATAGGTTCTGAGGGCCAATTTCCGAAATACAGCTACCCATACTCATTGAACAGCAGGCTGGCCACGACCCAAAGTCCATCTGGATGTGACAGATAAAAATCCCTTATCCTATTGAAAACCACTGTGTATTCAAGCCAAACGAACCAATCACTGACATTCAAAATCACTGCCGCCACTGAATCAGGAGAAAGATTTGGAACGTAAACGGTGCCTTACACTACTGTACAGTTCGGTACAGTAAACTGTGACGTGCCACTGTCCGTAATAAAACATTTATTGCGAAAAGCATGAAATTTTCAAGTAATTCTTCAGATCAAATTAGGAAAGGTTTTATGCTCTTCTGTAACACTACATCGTAATTAAGTAAACATGTAAGCCGCGCCACAGCTCAAGCGATTAGTCGCTAGCTTCCAACCGCGGTGGCCCGGGTTCGACCCCGGGTATGGTCAAGTGGGATTTGTGGTGGACAAAGTGGGGCTGGGGCAGGTTTTCTCCGAGTACTTCGGTTTCCCTTACCGATCTTCATTCCATCAGATTTTCCATCATCATAATCATCCGCTGCAGGTACAATGGGCCAATGAGTGGCCGACGTGCTGAGTGGACCCAGCTGGACTCCACCCCCCACTATGCGAATTAAAAAAATAAATAAACATGTATATACATGAAAATATATAATTTCATGTGGGATGAAACTAAGTTGAATTACGCGGGCCGCGTCATAGCTCAAGCGGTTAGTCGCTGGCTTCCCACCGCGGCGGCCCGGGTTCGATCCCGGGGTCTGGTGAAGTGGGATTTGTGGTGGATAAAGTGGCGCTGGGGCAGGTGTTCTCCGAGTACTTCGGTTTCCCCTGCCAATCTTCATTCCACCAATTGCTCCACAATCACCCTCACCTATCATCTGGGGCTGGTACAATAGACCAGAAGTGGCCGCAGTACAAGGGACTTAGTCCCACCCCACTAGCAATAAAAAAAGTTGAATTATTGTCGGAAGCGTGTTCCGAAACTCTTCGCTGATTGTTAAAAATGCAAGTAAGAAAAATTACGCGCAGCGTAAAAGTGCTGGTTTAATTATCCCGAACAATGTAAAATATAAGAAAATGTGCACCTGACATGAAATGTGTGTTTCATTTTGCTCTACAAAGTTCTAAATTTTCTCACCCCGATAAATATTTAATAAAATTATGCTGGCGATGAGGGCAACAATGAAAATAGTTCTCCATGTCACGTTAGCTTTATGTCTGACCGAGTTTATTCAAAATTGGAAGTCATGGACGCATGTTAGTAACTTTCCTATATCCAATTCCATAAGAATTGTTTCAGAGCTTCTCGAATTTTTCGTGCTTCGAGGCAGACAACAGTTTAATTGGAACGGTTGCGAATACTCCCTATAGGGGACTAAATACATAGATCAGTAACAAAGAAAGTTTTGAAACGAAAATTTATTAGATTCTAAACTTCTGTGATCTAAGCGAATCAGATGTGTGCTGCGTGCGATCATAGTGTCCTTGTTCGCCCCACGCACGCGATGTCTGCACTGCGTCAACATATCCATGTAGATATATAGGTCATATATATTATCGTCCTACTCTTAAACTTTTCGTGAATTCCATATGAGTACACAATGCTCTGAAATATTCACATGACGTACACATTGGTGTATAGCTTCTTTATAGAGTAAGTTACTTCAAGGACTCAGGAAGACCTGTCTTCATGTGTATCTGATAATACGTCCTAAATATATCAAACAAAGCGACGTTCTCTTTCTTTCTGTTAAACCCCCTTGCGGAGACTGAAGGATATAAATGACAAAAATATTAAAATAAAATTCACGGGAAAACAATTTGACATTCATTTTTGTATATATACAGAAGTACATTGTTTGAAACTGGATCAAAAACTTTGTAATGTTTTATTCAAACATATTGTAGCGTGTCCGCTAGGTAACACGACAAGAAATTTGAGCGGGTTCTCAGATCTGGCGAATACCTTTATTGGACAGTCACTTTTACATTCACAAGTACAATTATTCTCAACTTATAACGTCGTCAGACGTTTAGTCTTCGCTGTTTCAATTACTTGCACCGCTGATCTGGTGAAGTATCTTCTGCTCTGCTCGGAGCTCAACTAGTCCTTGGTCCCTTGTCGGATGAGAACTTAAAGTCGAATACAAAATCTCCTGGTCTATGGCCGACTTGGACTCTTATAACTTGCCCTCGGACTGAATAGGGAATACTTTGTCGAAAGGTTAATTTCGCCCATTGCTACGCAACGAACGCGGGAATACGTGTCTGCTTCAAACATTTCGTTTGTAACGGTGGAAACCCCACTATTAGACTTTCATATCAAGGGCAACGATTTCCTAGGCATCTTTGCCTAGGAATTGCTATCCGTTGGCTAATGATGAACGTCATATAGTCCGGCTTTCAGGCAGCACATCAATATTATTTTGAGTTTCTCATTAACATACGTGTATGCATCAGTTAGGTGGATTAGCAGAATAAATCACTTAACTTTACAGAATCTTACATAAGCAGTGTCCAGAAAGTAAGTCTGGAATATTATGAGACTGTATTTTCTTAACAATTGAAGATATTAAAGAAACAATTAATTTAAACGAGTCTTAAGTTACACTGCTTATGTCATCAAACTTCCACTTATATATTTTTGCGATACAACAAATATCTAGCTGAAAACTGGTTTTAGGTCGGCTCTGGAGTTACTGTTACCATCAGCTGTTATTACCCCTTATCTGAGTCGGTCATTTCGCGGTATACAATACGTCTGACGCAACTACGGAAGATATGTGGAACGCCAAATTTGGTGAAATCGCAGGCCAAATTATGGAACCGCAGCTTCCGTCCACTACCCAGGTTCGGTCACTTGAACTCCGGTATCAACAAATTTAACGGTTCAAGACTTTTTCTTGCGGAGAGATGTCAAATGTGTCTTGGACAGTTGCTCTTGTCAGGTTGCTACAACTAACATCGTAGCATTTCAGCTGTGATAAGAGTAGAACCAGGGGTGGTCTAAATTCAGTTATCGGCTAGCTATTTCTCCTGAGGCCAAAGGAATATACCTGGAAATTTACTGTCAAATTCTTTTGTTAAACTTTATTTCAGTGGAGTGTTTCTTTATTATGCAGATTGGACAAGAAAATGCAGCCTCCAACATACACGTAGAAGTGACTTTCCAGACACACTACTTGCAATATTTGTAGTCATTCAGGCAATGAAAATATTATCTGCCCTTTAGAACAAAAAGTTCATTATTTTGTTTAAGGAAACCGATACTGAACAATATTGTGATGTAGTTGAGTCTATTCCTACTTAAGCTACAGCATATAATGCTGCCAACTATGCCTACTCGTATATGATTTTGTCTTGCTTGTAGAGTCACTAACCTCAAGAATCACATTTCAAAGTGAACTGTCATTGAAATAGTTCATTAACTTAGAAGAAATAAATTTCTGCTTATTAATGTAATGAAACTTTATAAACGTTGTGAGTCAGAATGGAATTTTGAATTAACATGTTTTCGTAAGTATGCATACTATCAAGGGGCTTCTTAACTAACCGCAGCATAGTTTTGTAAACTTCCATGTGCACTCGTTTTATTATACACCAATACTCCAGGGAACTTCTGGGTAAAACAATCATGTACTACATGTTGTAACCGCAGAGAATGCAGTGTGTTGCGAAACAGCCAGTCATTTACCACGAAAATAAAACACGACTTGTCTAGACCAAGAGGATGCTTAAATTCTTACAGGATCGCTGCTTAAAAAACTGTAATTTTTATATTTCGTTGTTCAAAGAGATCGAGAACTAATCCCACAGTACATACCGAATATTTTACTAGGAGCAGATATCAGTGACACCATTCAGAAAGTTAATCAGGTAGTTCAATTTTTTCAATGTGACCAGACGGTTTCTAGGGTGCACACTATCTCTGTGAAATGAGTACCTGAGATCGAAGCGCGACATGAAGACTCACTTTTATAGAGTGCCAAATCCTAATATAAGCCGGAGTTCTAGTCCTTAGGCCTCTTTGCTGTTATTTTTAGGCACTGAGGCAAATTTGTTATTTAACTTTCTGCAACAGAAATTTTGGAATGAATCCTAAAAGATTTTTTTTCTGAATGTGCAAGATTTGAGGTTTTCATGGCGGTGACTATGAAGAAAGCCGTCTTCTTGGATGTGGCATTGTAGCCGTACCACTGACACCACCATCTTTATTTATAATCAATATTTCTTTTTAGAGTAATTATACACAAGATGCAGCAAGGAACACTCAATTTAACCCGATTCTTGGTTTCAAGAATAGGGCCTGCTTCACTGCTACAAAGACCAGACAGGAAGCACCCCGCAGAGTTTTCCTGGAAATTCAGTTAGAAAGTTGACCGGCGGGATCCTTTGGTAAAGTTACGCTTGACAAGTTTTGAACCCCATAAGTCAAAAGTGGGAAGGCCAGCAACCTACGCTACTGGTATAATTTTTCAGGCAGCTGTCTAAAACGACGTTAGGACTTTAAGGTCCAAAGTCCCAAATTAAAGTTATGTGATTGGAGCAGTGAGAATTATGGTTAACTCCCTAAATTCGAATTGTTCCAATCAGCAGAAATTAGGGTAGTAACTTGGAGGCGGAGCTGAAGCCGCGAAGATTTCTTGCTTCGAAGCAGGGTCAGTCTGCGAGAGGAGTCTCTGAACAACCCTCCAAGTGTACAGCCGAAATTATGTTTAAGTGTTTGCAGGAACAATCTCTGGATAACTCTTCTAAATTTAACGTGAAATTTTCTTTGTGCTAAAAGTATAAGTGAAAGTGCAATTCTAGGGGTTGTGCTAAAAGAAACAGCCGCTAACTAACTAGCCAGCGATCCGGTCGCCAACGTTGGAGAGATTTCCAGGTGTTTTAAGGAAGTGCAACAAGTGCTGTTACATGTACGTGTATAGCAAGAACGGCTAATTAAACAGGGTGTGTTAGTGCCTACCTAAAACTCTCATCTCTTTCCCGCTGACGCGAGGCCCGTATTCACCCTGAGACCGAATCTCATCGCTCCAGTGAGAACGCGGTACCTAGCACCTGTAGTTTCCAGTTCACCCCCCCTTTTCCCCGAAATGTAAGCCGTTACAGTAAGCTTACTGGCGCCCAGCACTCCGATAACCCATACCCCGCAAACTATTATCCACCAGAACAACAAAAAGGGAAACAGAACTGGATAGGAAGGACGCAGCAGCAACCTGCCAACTCGAAGTAACCACAGGTGAGAGGGAACAGCTAGAGGAGCAGATGCAACCAGCAACCAAAGGGCTCTTCAGAGGACTGCCGGAGAAGGGCGGTAAGAAGGAATGACGCCCAACGAAAAGGGCCTTAAAGCACTAGACGGTTAGAGCATCGTGCAGATATTATGTTAACCGACGTTTCGGAGGAACGTATCGCCTCCAACTNTAGAGGAGCAGATGCAACCAGCAACCAAAGGGCTCTTCAGAGGACTGCCGGAGAAGGGCGGTAAGAAGGAATGACGCCCAACGAAAAGGGCCTTAGTGCTGCTCTCCGTCAAGTTCCCACTAACTGACCTGATTCTGGCAATCTTCAACTTGTAAACTTTTCGGTATAACAATATTCCATCAACATATAAAATCTATATAACAAAGTATGTATGTGGTATGTTTCTATATTTAAATTAATATATTGTAGCATGTAGTAGAGAAGGAACATTCGTTGCTTGGTAACGGCCGGTAAACACGTGAACAATATCCGGGCTATCGCTAGGCAGCCGCCCATAACAATAGAAAAACTGTTGGGGCGGTGTTCTCTGTTCGGCCCGACCCGGGGCTATATAAAGAGGACTCCAGGCCGGCTCAGGGAATTGAGAGAGAAGATTAGGAGGTTCGTGTGAAATAGCCGCCAGCCTGGGAGCCAGTTAGATGAGGGTTTGCAGTTCGGTTGAGTTATAGAAGGGAGGCAGAGAAGAGATGGCGCTATAGTTCAGTTGACATTGAATTGGTATTGAGAGTATTCGTTTGAGGGATATTCGCTGGAAATGAAGGATCTGAGGGCGCGAAGCCGTAGAATCCCCACTGTTAACATCAGTTACCAGGAAACGGCTGCAGAAGACAGTGTTTACAGCAGTTCTTTTAAAGTATGTAGACTAGCGATAGCTTGCTAAGTACTTGTAGTTCCCAGTTGTGTCAAAAAATCTAATACCCAATCCATACCCCTTCTACAGTAGCACACATAAACGTGTCAATATTTAGCTGCAGAGCTGTAAGGTGTAGTACGCAGGTTCTACGTCTCTTGTACAAGAAAACCAACCCCACTTTCACACCGCGAATCTTGGATGTTCAGAAACGAGGCCCTGGGGACAGAGTTATGGAGGTTATCTTATCTGAAAGGAATTTCATTTCCAATTTAGGAATTTTTTTGTGGTCGATCTCTTATATGTCTTATATGTCGGACTAAACCCACTTTATATAGTGACTCAGCAGTTATCAGCGCCAAACGGAACAGAACATAATGTATGTCATTTCATACTCCACACAAACACACGCGCGTGCACATACACACAAAAGAAAACACCAAAAACAGTGCTTTTTCCACTGTAAACAATCTGACGAAACTGAGTTGGATGTCACAGTTGCTGCTGTCACATCATTAATTCCAAGGATGATGTCAGAATTACGTACTTATGTATTTATGGCCCAAGCAACAAGTCAAAGCTCACGTTAAACCCGGTAATGCGCAGTACACGCTGAATGAGATTTAGAACTATCAACTGTAACGCAGTTCTTCTTCCTACGTATAGTCACCTCCACGGCCAGTACAACATAAATTCTCTTTGGTGTTAAGTTAGTTGGCTGAAAGTAGATTTTGCAGGCCGAATCAGGCGTGTAAATTACGTTTTCAAATTTTGTGACGCGAATAAGACAAAGTTTTGAACGCCCTCGAAGCAATAAGTGTTTTAATTTCAAATTGTATTGATCATCTTGAGAAGTACGCACTTTATGAGCTTCAGCTGTCATGGACTGTACTTGTTTTCTTCGTTGCGTTCTTCAAACATCCGATCGTATCGCCACAAAGTCAGGTCTTTCCAACGCTTTGCCAGATTAAACATATTTACATGTCGCTGTTCATAAGCAGCACAAGTTGCCACGTTTGTTTCTTTATCACTTCACCCAGCAGTGTACTGAATTATTCCGGACATAACACGCACACGGTCGGGATGTTACATGAAGGCTCCTTTTCAGATGTCTTACACAAAAGAAAGTTCGATGCTCTTCATTTTTGCTTTCGCGTTAAGCCATTTCCTTATAATATTAGTAAGAGTATGTCGGTTACAGTCTCCATTATCGGGACTTGACAAATCTTCCGGGTAAACGGTAAAAAAGCTATCCCTGTAACAGGTCTTGGAGGCCCATAGGTTTGTGAGACGCCGAGGCTCCCACATTGTTCTCTAGACAATCGGTTCACAGATGGCGGTAAGGTTCTCAGCCTTACGCGCCGGCGACCCTTCACTCCCCAGGAAAATTCCTGGTGCTCATTTCTGTTAGAGGCTGAGTCGACTCCAGGGCCATAGTGCGGCTGGAAGGATCAGGTAAATTGAAACAGAATCCAACTCATCGGGACTCGAACCCGCGACCTTCCAGCTTGTAGCATAGTGCTTCAACAAACTACGCTACCGCATGCAGTATCTCATCATTCTAGTGGTGTAAAAGTTTACAGGACAGATTCGAAATAGGCAAACCTATTTTTCGAGCGAGTAATAGCTAATCCCATCCATTCATATTCACCTTACTGTATGGTGTGATGTGGTTAATATTTGGGGTAATATTCTCCACCTGACGGTGATCGCAATGAATTAAATACGTTTAGAGCAACAACATGTAAGGGTATACACAACGAGAAATGCATATGAAAGGGGGATGAGGCTGTCAGACCAGAGACACCTTCAGCAACGCCAACTTTTCGCCCTCAAGGAACGTTTAGCGTGTAGAATTCAAAATCTGATGGTGGCACCAGAGTTTTTATACAACTCAAACTCATCATGGATGCCTGGACTGGCACCAGTGCCGACGGTTTTGGTTGCAAGACGATGACGTGTTACTAGGAACATAATGCAGATATCCTGGTACAAACATATGAGTCTATGCCGAAGTTGTTGCCTTGTGTGACGATGACGTTTTGCCAGGAACATGACGCAGATATCCTGGCACAAACCCATGAAATTACAACACTAAGAAAATAAGAATGTTTAACTCCGATTTACTGGGAGGTTACATTAAACCGATACGAACTAAAATTAAATTAGCTGGATCTGAGGTTCTCACAGCGATAGCGAAGAAGGATTCCATCTTCTTGGATATAATGCCGTGTAGTCTGGTGAAAGTCAACTCACGTTTCGCAGGAATATATCGCTTTCATCTCAAGGGTTAAAAAATGAACCAAGCCAGAGACTGGCACGAAGCAGACAACAGGCATAGCGAGCAGTGTGCGGAAAATCACACGATTATATAGGCCTTTAAACAAATTGAAAGCTAATTGGAATGGAATGCCTGGATTATAAGTTGACTGCTAGCCTATAAAATCGTATGGTTTCTGCACGCGAATCACTCTGCTTGCTGCCTCCTTCATGCTGGTTTCTTGCTTAGCTTACATGTCGACCCTGAAGATGGAAGCGATATGTTCCACAGATTTATCAGTTGGCTTTCACTGGACTACGCGGCGTTATATCCCAGAAGATGGATCTGTTGGAAATTAACTTCGCTTAACAACTTATAGTGTACTGTCTCTAAGAGCAAGTTTTGTTAGAACTCATTAAGTAATTCTACACTTGCCAAAAGAAGGACAATTACGACTTTGTCATTATGCGTGGTGTGTATCCAATCACAATGAGAACCTGCTATTATGTTTCGCCGTCGGACAACACATATATATTATTGTACAATTTGGCGCAGTTATTCTGCTGACAGCCTTCGCCAGATTGTTCAGAGGGCTTCATGAGGTTAAAATATTTGCAAGGTTTTCAGACGAAGGCGTTTTATAACAATTTGCTGTACATTATTCAACAGGATGGATAATCTTAAACAAAGTTTCTGTGTTGAAATATTTTATAAAAACAGCAGATAATTCACAGTATAGTATTATAAACTTCAATTAAATCGAAGAAATAATTTATATTTGAAATGTTTTCAGGTTGCTAGAGAAATTGAAGAGGCGCGGAAGAAATTCGAGAGGGATAAGGAAGTTGCTGAGGTTTTGTTACTGCAGCGGAAGTCAATCGAGGCACAAATTTTGGAGGAACGTCAGAGGATCAAGGATGAGGAAGAGATGATGAAAGAGAAAATTGAAGAAGAAATAAGGGAAGAAAAAATGACCGGTAAGTTAAATCTTCAATGATTAGCGGTTTCGATGAATAAAACACCGTTGTCATGCATACTGTACATGTGTTGTCTGAAAAGCTACAGACGGAGAGGGAGAGAGAGAGAGAGAGAGAGAGACACGCACACACACTGATCGAGAGAATAACCGGTAACACTTACTTTGCACTTACAATAAATAAAAATCTATTGTTGTTGCTATGATAAAGTTAGTGGGGGGGGGATCGAATTGCTCATATTTTCGAAACAATATCCTTGAGAGATTTTATTCTTCACTGTTCTAGATGAGCATTTATTTTAGACGCTAAAGTGTGATTTTCAGAGGCAGGCAACACAGTGGTCGAAAATCGCTGGCTAATTATATCCAATAGGACAGTATGTAAGCACTTTTTCGACCAAATATTTACACGATTTATATATAAATATTATGCATCATATTACAACAAAAAAGAAAACAGGCATTAATTCGTTTTAAGTGGCATGTTCAAAGGAGAATCCTTTTACAAGAAATATGACAATTTCTATCCTGCTCATGCCTTATCTCGAAATTTGAGGATAAACATGCATGAAACGACAATGTGAAGACCTTGTTTGGATTAATGTGAAATTTCGTGCTTCATTCTGAAGAAATGCGTTAACAGTACCTAAAATCAAAACCGCTGAAATTTATATTTGAACCTAGGAAAATGAATTAACAAAGGCTGGTGATTCTTACGAGAGACGGATGTAATCTCAACATGATGAACCAAGTATGTGAGGACTATGTAACCTGCAAGGGGAAACTAGGGATGTGTACAAAACTACGGTGACAGAATATTGCAGGAATAAACCAGATGGAAGCCTGAGAAAATTCATTGCACGATAACATTAAAATGGATAATAAAGAAATATTTTCGAAAATATGGCATGAATTTGACTAAGAGAAGGGTCTTGCCGATCACAGTGGCCGCGCGGTCTAAGGTACGAGTAAGAAGAGTTTTCGCCGCTTAAACACTGGGATCGTGGGTTGGAATCCCACTCGAGGCATGGATTTCTCTTTGCGTTTATTCTGTGCTTGTTTTGTTATGTGTAGGTAGCGGCATTGCGAGAAGCTGATCCCCAGCCCACGGTGTCCTACCTACTGTGTATAGGATTAAGAAACTGAAAATGCGGCCAAGGTCCAAAGCCATGGGGGGGCCGTGGGGGAGAGAGAGAAAGGGTAGGATCCTGTAGTGGAATTAATGAAATTTCGGCTTATATAAAACGGGAAATATCTTGTTCAGTTGAGTGATTATTAAAGTCTCAAGAAGAGCATGAAGAACTGGAATAATCGAGTTAATAAGAGCTGAGAAAATTGCAAATATAATTCAAATTTGATTATATTTTTGCTTCGCGATTTTAGAAGTTTATATACTCGTAAATACATGTCAACTAATGCAGAGGTCAAGAATATTTGGATCTATACATGCAGTTCCCCTCTAGATGTGTGTAGTTCCAACAAGCAATGTGACCCGTGATTAAAATCATTGAAATGGAATGAAGTGCAACCTCGTGTATTAATTTACATATTTTATTGTGTAAGAGCTACTTTAAATATAATCCACCTTTCATACAGGCCCTAAAATGTCCCCTTAAACCTACCTAACTCTTTGCTGATTTCTATTCCTTGCCTGATTTTATTACAAGTATAGTATTTCAGTCAATGTAAAACCTGTGCGTTTGTAACATGCAGAAAATTTACGTGTAACTGTATGTTTTTGTTGTTCGGTAATAAAGTCTTGAATATAATTGCTGCGAAGAATATAAATCTGGTTGAGGGGCTATGCTACAAGCCGGAAGGTCGCGGGTTCAAGTCCCGATGAAGTCATTGAATTTTTCAATTGACCTAATCCTTCTAGCCGCACTATGGCCCTGGGGTTCACTCAGCCTCTAACAGAAATGAGTACCAGGAATTAATTAAATAATTTTCCTGGGGAGTAAAGCGCGGCCGGAGCGTAAGGCTGACAACCTTACCGCCATCTTGGAGCCGAATGTCTAGATAATGTGGGACCCTCAACTTCTCACAACCCTATGGGCCTTCACGGCCTGGTACAGGGATATCTTTACTTACTCTACCGGTCAGACGTCGTTATTTCTGACTTAAGGCCTGGATACTGTGCTTATATTTTTAATTATACAAGGACTAGATTTTAAGCCCTTAATAACGTTCGACATATCTATTCTCCCACATATCCATCCATGGCTCTACAGTCCTTGTGGATCTTGGACGCTTTTTTTATTTTCTTAATCCATGCCTAGTCGATATGGCTCCTTGGCCGCGAGACAAGCCACTCGTAAGGCCACTACCTACACACAGAACAACACAAAGAGAATAAACATACACAGACATCCATCGACAGGGATTCAAACTCAAGACCCCAGTGTTCGAGCTGGCGAGGACGGTTCATGTCTTACACCGTGCGGTCACTGTGATGGGCAACGGATTTTCTGAAAGCATTGCTATGCAACGGCTTGATAAACACCCCATGGTACGCGCACACAACAATAGGAAGAAAGTTTTAGCTCGTTGATAGGCAGCGGTCAGCTTGCAGAAGAGCTGGCTGGGTGGCGGTCATGCAGTGTGATTTCTGTGGGTCCAGCTAGCGCGCAAATGGATTTGCATGATAGCGAACACGTGACATATATTTTCTGTGCGTGGTCCGTGCCGAGGAATTATCTTGATGACACTCGGCGCTACAACGCGGTTGACAGAATTTACTGAGGAGTTGAAGTCAGCCACGGACGATCGTAGTTGAAGAAGAATTAGAAGCCGGCCTGTGAAGACTTAATGGGTAAGTTGCAGATTTCATGTGTGCTGGAGTACAGTGATATTGGAAGTGAGTGATTAAGCGAGACTTCTATAGATCCTGTGTAAAATCCGTTTACAGGAAACGGATAGTAAAAACACTGTCAAGGCTTAGCCACAGTTGAAATCTGTTACCTAGCAACGACTAGTGCAAGCAGAAATAGAAGACTTTATTTAAGTCTTATAATTACAGTAATCCTTACATTGTTATAACTGTTGCAGTTACGACCTATAAGTGGTCAAAATATCGATTCGCCAATTCAGATCCTGTTACTATTTGTCACGGAACCCCGGACAGGTGACTGTATATGACTGCGGTGCAGCCTGCATTTCATCGTAAGTTTAACATCCAACCTCCAACAAGGAAGAGCATTTATCGTTGGAATAAACAATTTGATGAAACTGGCTCTCTGTGTAAGGATAAAAGCCCGGGCCGATCGCGTGTATCGGAGAACGTGGGATAAATTCAGCTACCGTCTTGATGTTATCCGTGCAGCCGGAGAGGGGCACATTGAACATCTATAAACTTCCGTAAATGTATAATCAAATGTACTTTACAGAATTCAAATGCAACATATAATTCAGGAAATATAGCCAATTGAAATTGTGTCCATCTTTCTGAATCACCCTGTATATATATAAGGATAGCGAAAAATGCACTTAAGCCATCTTACCGAATACTAAATTTAGGCCTATGTTAAGGGAAGCAATACTGAGGAAAATCATGAGTCTCGGCGACGCATGCGAACATCTACGTACGTCTGTTATATTACGTTGTGAGCCAAGATGGCAGAGTCAGTTGATTGGATATGGGCTGGATAGCCAGGGTTCGATTCCCAGTACTGACAGGGACTCTCCTCTTCGACATGTTCAAACAGCTTTGAGGCCCAACTAGTCTTCTATCCAATGAGGACCGGGGGGGGGGGTCTTTCCTAGGAGTGTAAAATGATAGGAGCATGAAGCTGACTCCCCAGCTCCATCAAAAAGTCGAGGTTATGAATCTGTGGAGATTTACGTCCATTCTCCCTATTCGCCTCCATTATATCCCGTAGAATATTTTGCTTTTATCTAGTGCTTTCTTATTCTTGATACAGTAGCAAGTTTAATTACTCTAAATTAGGGTACCAAAGGTTTAATACAAATATTTGTTTTAAGTTAAGATTCCCTATATTTTGTTCAGTTTCCTATCTATTTGAGATTCTATATCAACTCCTGACATTAGGTAGCATCGATTGTGAAATTGTACGATGATTATTAATTTTGAGAGGAAGCCGTGTTATACCGTAATTTGTCCGAAAACCATGGAAATACTCTCAAAATATCCGATCTCTGAGCATAGCTGTAAATAGACCTATTCTGCAAGAAATAGGAGAATCGACTTCAACATATATTACTTCATATAAACGTTAGGTCAGAATCAGTAATCCGAATAAATTCAGACTCCTAGCATATGAAATTCTGTACCTGCAGCAGTGAAGAAGGAAGGAAGGTAGTTACGGTGTTATCTTGTGAAAGGATAAGAATATTCAATATCCGGCTTCCGCAAGGTAACCAGATATGAACAATTATTTCTTTACTGTGTCAGACGTAGTGGAATTTCTCGTGGCATTCCCAATAATTACATTCTTTATATTATTTCAGTATTATCATCAGCTAAAATAACATCGCCGGTCATGGCAGACGAGCGGTCTAAGGAATGCACTGTCTTCTGTCGCTCAGAAGCCCGGATCGTGAGTTCGAATCCAACTCAGGGCATAGATGTTCAGTGTTTGTGTGTGTGTGTGTGTGTGCGCGTTTTTGTGTCTTTATGTACAGGTAGAGGCTTGCGACGAGCTGATCACCCGCCCAAGGAGTCCTACAGAATGTCTAAAATCTAGTAAACCGAAATGAAACGTAGAGTTTCATGGAGGTAGGCTAAGGCCCAAATTGGGGCTGTAGCGCCAAAGGAAAAAGAATAACCTCAGTATTTCAGATTCATTGGAATAAAACTGCGTTACAATAAGAGAACTGAGGTACGAGGAAGAGTAGCGCTGTCAGTAACGCGACTGGAAGGGTGTACATTCACGAAAGGGGAACATGAAGGGAATGTCCCTTAAACCCCAGTGTTATCTACTGGGCATGGTTGCAGAAGCATAATGAAAGAATATGTAATAATTATAGGAAGAGAAAACAGTTACTTTACTATGAAGAAAACAGTCTTCTGGGTTATGGCGCCGTGTAGATATTGTGTTAACTACTCTGTTAGCACATAATCACGCTGGTTGCTCTCTCGCGGATTTTATTCCTTTCTTACCCTGAAGATGGAGGCTATACGTTCCTCCGAAACGTCGGTTAACACAATATCTACATGGCGCCACATTCCAGAAGACTGTCCGCTTCATAGTCACCGCCGTGAAAACCTCAAATCTTGTAATTCCTTTACTAGATCAATGATCTAGGACGTCTTCTTCTGAACTGCGTCAGGTCTTGCTGAATTCCTTCGATATACACTTAAACTTCGGTTTACTTCTTGGTTCAAGAATGAGACATGTAAATTGTAGTGACAATGACGTAAGTGTGAGCACTGGAAAAGACGCTGGCTTGCAAGAAGTGGTACAACGATTGCAATATAAACTTCCTCCTCGCCTATCCGAAACGGATAAATAATATGCATTTAACACATAACAATGAACAAACCTGATCAGTTATATTTTATTTGACTGCGATAAAGGATTGTTGGACAAATAAATAATTTCACTGCACACGTTCGTATCCAGATGATATGTGACACTTCAAGTTATTTGCGAGTGATTCTCCCGCAACTTCTGAAACAGACGTTTCATAATCCCTCTTTCGGATATCTGCTTAAGTTTTCCATTAATATATAGTAATTTATAATGTTGAAGAATGCCGTCTCCTGGGATTTGGCGCCGTGTAGACCTTGTGTGAACCGACGTTTCGGAGGAAGGTATCGCCTCCATCTCCAGGGTAGAAAGTCTGCGAGCGAGGAAGCAGCGTGAACAGGTAGCTGCAGACACCTTCTCAAGTTCGTTCCTAGTTCGCGGATTTTTCTACCCTGGAAATGGAGGCGATACGTTCCTCCGAAACGTCGTTTCACACAAGGTCTACACGGCGCCACACGCCAGAAGACGGCATTCTTCATAGTAACCGCCGTGAAGACCTCAAAATCTTATATTTATAATGTTGGCGTACTAAGGGGTTCGTTCTTAGCAACTACGTGCAGACAGGATAAGTGCAAAGCAATGATAGGTTGTAGCTGGCACGAAATTCAATGGTGAAGTGTTTTATAAGCACGAGAGACATATTCAGTGCATCCCTCCCCATGAGCGTCGTCAGACTATGTTAGCTCCCAAGTGGGAATCAGATTTAGGCTGTCAAGAACGGAAAGACGAGGAACTTAATGGACCTACAAGGAACAAACAGCACAAAAATAGAAATTACACAGTCATGAGCTTCATAATCAGTTATTTCCAGCTAACACTTTCAGGTAGATTGAATTAAGAAAGCTGATACAGGAACAGCGCGTGCCAAGTATGGGTGAAACGCAAAGTGTATTATAAATTTTTATACGGAAAACCGGAAGCGAAGGGGGCACTCGGAGACCTAGGGGAAGATGGGAATGTAATGATAAGGACAGATGATATAACAGTGTGGACTTAATTCATCCGACACAAGGTAGGGACTAGTGGTGGAATCTCGGCATCTTCGGGTCTTACAAACTGCATAGGACTTCTTAAGCAGCTGAGAGACTTGTTAAATTCTCAAGGTGGACGCTGTCCCATCGCGTTATTAATTAGTTAGAGAAGTATGTTCTATGAAATTATAAGACATATCCTGTCCTCAACAAGTTTAACTTTATTCATTGTGGTCCGTCACACTAGTCAATATTATACACGACCAGTGTGAATCAAATGTGCCTCAACAAACAACGAAAGGACTAATAGCTTAACAACAAACAGAGACGCTTAACCAACAATATAAAGAGGGAAAAAACACTGCCCGGACCTCAAAGGACGGCAATTTGTCCCAATCTCCCGTTGATAGTAGAGGCATGAAGACACGTGGGATTTTAAATATTAAGAATTTTATTAACATTTTAACTTAATTGAAATAATTAAATAAAATTTTGGACAATGATGTACTATGATTGATTCCTCAACGTGTTGTTACTTGCCTTCTGAAGATGGTCATTAATTGACCGAAACATGTAAATGCATCATATATATATATTTTATTCACACGGGACGGTGCAGTCAAATCATTCTATAATGTCTGTCCTGCTAATCACTGACATCACTGAATTATAATTCGCATTTTCTTGATCACTTTCGTGTACATTGCAAGCTGTTTGAGTATTTTCCCAACAGTTTCAGTTTAGGTTACTCTTCTAGCCCTCCAGTGCAATATACTATTCATGGCAGTTTCCAAATTCTTCAACTCACGGCACACCGAACTAGGTGTTAAAATTATCAAGGTACACCAGTTTTTTAAGGATAGATTTTAGCAATAAATAGACGAGTAATAAGAATGTGTTTAAATGTTCAATAACTAAAATTCTAATCATTGTGCTACTCTTAAGAGTAATGTTGTTCCTAGATTTCGACGATTTTTTATACCTCAATTTTAGTCACCTCTTTTCAACCTTCCCCCAAACTCCCGCGGCATATCTGCAGACCCTTCGTGTCCCACCAGTGTGTCGCGGAACACCTGTTGGAAAACTGTGATTTATGGTAAAAATATAAGTGAAGTTAGAACTGTTAATTATGTGGATTGTTACGAATCAGTTTACAAAGATTTGTTTTATATGTATTTCAGCACTCGAAAACAAGATTAAGGCCAGAGAGAAGATGTACAATGACCTGATGGAACAGATAAGGAGACGTGAAGATTTTCTGAACAGTATGGCTAAGGAAGAAGAAATTCTGGAAGAGACGTTCTGCCAAGTGGCGCAAGACGAACTTGAAAAGGAACTAGCGTCCAGGAAAGAGTACAGAGTGAGGAGCGCAAATTTTTATGATTATAAGAATTTGTAATCACTGAAATAATTTTAAACATTATTTAACCCTATCTTTAAAACCGCGTAGCTCAGAATTTTGAAGGGGTATCAAATAATTATTAATTCAGAATATTTACTAACGTACCCTCCTTCTGTCCTCAGAATGACAGCTTTCGAACAAGTCTTCCCACCAGAATTCATTCCTTGTTCTCCGTATCCGATACATATCAACAGACTAGCATAATTCCACCTGCCTAGCAACAATAGGTGACATGCATAAAAGATATGTTTTCTCATTAAGTTTCCCACTTACATTATCCATCTTAGGTCGAAATATTTTAATCCGATTTCACTTTAAAATTCTTTCGAATCCTAATTTATATTTTTATCTCGTTGTGCCTATAGGCTGAAGTTTAGGATATGTGAAACAATAACTGAATCATCCAATACGATGTGAAGCCCCCATTTCGATAAATTAAATTTATTTACTTATCTTAACGTCCATGTATTTATCGCCCCTCACTATTGCAACATTTGTTTATTCACTACTTAATTTTAATTTTAGTTTAACATTATACACTTTGACACCACACGTTTCGGCCCCAAACGGCCATCTTCAGGTGTCTTGGTATGTTACAGATATTTTATTAAATGTTATTAAAACTGCTACACTGTCTTATTTTTTATTGCTAGTGGGGTGGGACTAAGTCCCTTGTACTGCGACCACTTTTGTCCTCTTGTACCGGCCCCAGATGATAGGTGAGGGTGATTGTGGAGCAATTGCTGCAATGAAGATTGGCAGGGGAAACCGAAGTATTCGGAGAAAACCTTCCCAGCGCCACTTTGTTCACCACAAATCCCACTTGACCAGACCCCGGGATCGAACCCGGACCGCCTTGGTGGGAAGCCAGCAACTAACCGCTTGAGCTATGGCGCGGCCTATGTACACTGTCTTAGTCCGTGTTAAAATCATACGATGTAGTCCTCTTTTCAAGGTAAAACCATATAAAATCCTTAAAGTTTCTATTATACCCCCGTTATTTTCGTGCATTTTGTTTCACCTCACACGGGGTGTCGTCCATTGTTCATAAATTGTTAGGGTAGTGAAATTAAAGAAGGCACGATGGGCTTCGTAAGTGGTTATGATCGTAACACAATGAAAACTTGTACAAATTTGTACAAAAGATGTTAGAACAACCCGGTTGGAAGAGTGACAACAAGTTAGAAGGATAATGGACGGTGGCAAATTTTGGAGTTAGCGATGTTGAAACTTCGGGTCCTACCCTCTCAGCGTTAGCTTAGACCCTAATTTATGTTCACATACAGTTAAGGTAACTATAAAAATAATATAATAATATTCTCGTATTTGAAGCATTCATCGATCAATTCTGTGCTTCCAGGAAGCCCAGAAGCGAGAATGGAATTTGTATCGCGACAGCGTAGCACAGCTACGAAGACAGAGAGCAGCTGAAGAAGCAGAACTAGAGAAAATTCTGCAACAGGAGAGAAATAAAATAGAGGCAGAGAGAAAGGAGAAACTGGCGAGACTTGAAGCGGCCCGCCAGAAACTCAAGGATGTAAGTTAGTTTGAAACTGTTAAAATAAAGCCTACCTTATTGCACACAGTACTTCTCAGATTGGCTCCTTAATACTTTCAGAGTTAAGTACAAAATATGGATTTTCATCATGCAACAAGTTTTTAACAACACTCGAAGTTTACGTGGCGTATTTCAGGGTTAAGAAGGCTTAGACATGGAAAGTTTTAACACCTTCCGCATTAGTTATAAACGTATCTGCATCCCTATATATTACACACGTCAGTTTACAAGGATTTTCCAGTTAACTTCAACACGACAAGTCATTTGCGGGGTGGCCATTCTGTTACTTTCCATTTTACTAATATAATAAAAATTGTAAGATTTGAGGCTTTCACGGCGGTGACTATGAAGAAAGCAGTCTTCTGGGATTTGGCACCGTGTATATGTGGTGTTAACCGACGTTTCGGAGGAACGTATCGCCTCCATCTTCAGGGTAGAAGAAAAAATATAAGAAGTCTGTCTGCTTTTACCGGTTCTCACGGTCTCTTCGCTTTGCAGATTTCTTATATTTTTCCTTCTACCCTGAAGATGGACGCGATACGTTCCTCCGAAACGTCGGTTAACACCACATATACACGGTGCCAAATCCCAGAAGACTGCTTTCTTCATAATAAAAATTACACACTTTTACAAACCTGCAGTTCCCTATATTGCTACTGTAGTTTCTATCACATAAATCCTATAACAGTCATTTTCATATTGTTGTGTAAGGAGTTCAGAGTACCATGACGGAGCCTATCGATGATACACAAGATCTAAAATATAATAACGATGATATATTAACACAGATATTGACTTCTTGGGCATTACTCGTTGAGCCACTTTTTATTATAGGTTCGGAAACAAGGACTAACTCTATCGATTGAGTCCAATTGAGCAGGCCTTTTACTTGAGGACGCAGGCAGAGACCTGTCCCCGGAAAGTTATTTTGAATAAAACAAGAAGTTCTGAGAAGAACTAGCCGACTGCTTTCTTCTGCTATGACACGAATGGCATAGAAAACATGTCCAGCTATTTTTCTATTGTTTTGGGTGTATTTGTTGCAGCGGGAACGTATTTCCCAAACAGTCGTCTAGTAACGGCAGGGGAGATACACAAGCAGACACACAGACAGCAAGGTGATCTCATAAGCCTATCTTTAGAATAATTTCCTCGGTTTGGAAAAATAAAAGTATTTTTAGGAGATGACCTTGCTTCCTATGCTTCAAGTTTTAGGCTTATGAGCTCACCCTGCTCTATGTGTATCCCCATTAATAATTTTATGAGGCTTATATGATCACCTGGCTGTCTGTGGTTTGTGTCTCCGTGTAATTTTTTGTCTCCTATGCCGTCCTTGTTACATGAAAAGAAAGTAGGCGATTAATTATTAACAACATTTTCTGTTATTTTTCAAAATAAGGGGGTAGGCTAAAATGGGGAGATGGAAATGTGCAAAAAGTCTGCAATTTTACCGATGGTATAATTTTCGGACAGAAGTTTTAAGAAAACTAGCCAATTAATCTCTAATAGCCTTGTTCACAGTTCTGTGAGGTGTAACGCCACGTTCTTTGACAGATACCAACGTTTCGTAGGAACCTGCAGCCTTCAGCTTGAAATTACAAGAAGCAGGCAGAAGGTTAGGTCGAAACGTTGTTACCCATCTGCAAACCTACATGCCGGCACATCGCCGAACACCACACTCGTGATACACACCTCCGTGAGAACCACATCATGTTCCTGGTTCAGCTTCCTTCGACTTTTGCAATTTCTAGACTTATAATTAAATGTATATGTATTTATTAACGAATACTCGTAATATAATTATTGAAACTCTGGGAAGGTCAAGATTATGACTCACTGTTACTGGGATTCATAACATTATTAAATGTACTTCACCAATAAAGGCAAATTATAGGCTGCTTAATTGAACGTTGTATCCATACAACTTGGTCATAATTTTGTTGAGGCCTGTTTGAAATCCATAAATGTCGTCAGATCATCCTCATTTAACACTGCATAATCACTTCAAAATTCAGCATACTCCTGCTATGAATAAGTGCCTGCAGAGGAGAAGCTAAGCATACCTTGTGCCTGTTACATATAATTCGTTATGATGTAATACCGATTCAGAATGAGCATAAACCTTCTCAGACACAGGGAACTAGCAGTGTTTGCGAGTATTGATATGCTACAGGTTGCGAAAAGGCTGTCGCCTTGTGTTAGCATTTTCAGGGATTCAGTTCACGCGTCTAAAACCATATTTTCCTGAAGTATCAAAATTGCCCTATATGTGTCCTGCTCCTTTGCATACCACTCTGAAAATTGTTCAGAAAAGACGCTCAGAGTTAGAATTACGATATTCACTGACAGCTTCACGTAACTGGAAAAGCCCCAAGTTCGAATCCTGATACTGCCTTTCTATGTAAGGCAGAAAAAAGCCGCCACGAGGCATTGTTGAATATGACAAATGATGTTTCCCAGAGGGAGGGAGTGAGTTCGTAGGTGAGATGATAATATTAAAAATGGGGAATTAGGATGGGGTCGTGTGGACTGCATTTATCTCCCTCAGGATATGGATCAGTGGCGGGTTCTTGTGAACACGGCAATAAGCCTCAATATTCCAAAAAATATTAAGAAACTCTTGAATTGTTGAGACACTGCTACTTTCTGAAGAGGGACTCGACTCTTTGGAGTTAGTTTCAGAGCGAGTTAAAAGAAAGAAGGATAATAATGAAAACCGTAACAGACAAACAAACTGACTAGTTCAACAGGTCGCAATCTGCTGAACTAGACTGGTTATCCGCGGCAGTCAGCAAATCATTTTCAGAATGTAAGATCTATACATACTTAAATCCACGCTAACCAAATTTTGGCTGTGCACCAAGTACAGCTGTTACGTCATCACTCGGTCGCCAGAGCCTCGTTCGTACTAGCAGGATATACCATGTGATAGTTGGACGAGAGAGGCCTTGTGCACTACATCACACCCCATACACCCCAGAAAGTACGTTTAATGCGCTGACCTTACTATATCGCTAACCCCAAACGCAGGAACCATGTCTCTAATGGTCTCGGCTTCTGAGAAGTTTCTTAAAATTAGTCTCCCGGTTCGCAGTCAGCAACAAAAAATTATCCAATTTATCTTCACTCTTTCGACTACCGCCACCGTAATTAACCCTCCAGCAAAACAGTGCGACAAAGAAGAAAGCAAAAGTAAGTCTTGTTGCAGGAAGTGTTGCAGGGGAGAAAGGTTCAGGTGGAGCATCAAAAGGAGATGGCAGAGAAGCTGAAGAAGGAGGAAGAGGAGGAGTTCAAGTTGCAAGAGTTGGTGAGGCTGGAGAACGCACGGTTAACTGCTGAACACGATAATCAGATCAGACTCCTGAAGCGGAAGTACGCTAAGGACCTCAGGGACCAAATCGAATACAGCAAGATGCTCAAGGTTCGTGCGACTAATAAGATTTTCGTGTATTCTGACATTTTGTTTCTTTAAGTTCATATAATATTCTTATTGATTTCCTGGAGGATTGTGACAATGACTGAGTCCTTCTTTGAATACTATTTTGGCCACTGTCTGCTGTTTGAGGTTGTGTGTGCTATAAGCAATGTTCAGGAGTTGGTTCTACTTACATCTTCAGGTCATTACTTGCCAGTATACCACGAGATGATAGGAGAGATAACTTCCACAGTTTTCTTAAAGAACACATAGATTCAGGCAAGAACGAGTCCTGCTTTATTAAACGCCACGCCATTTAAGTGACATGCAAAGGGATAAAACAGTATAGGAAAATAAAAACCACTTAAGCTACACAGGTAAAATAAAAGGTAGAGTTATCTCTGTAACAGGCCGTGGAGATCCATGGGGTTGTGAGACGTTGAGGCTCCCACAACTTCTAGACACTCGTTTCACAGAAGACGGTAAGGTTGTCAGCCTTATGCGCCGACCGCCCTTTACCCCCCAAGAAGAAGATTTCTGGTACTCATTTCTGTTAGAGGCTGAGTCGACCCCAGAGCCATAATGCGGCTGGAAGGATTAGATAAATTGAAAAAGATCCACCTAATCGGGACTCGTACCCCCGACCTTCCGGCTTGTAGCATAGTGCCTCGGCCAACTACGCTGCCGCGTACCCCAAGCTACACAGGCCATTTCGTAATGATATACTTTATGAATACTACAAAGATCAAGGAGGTTACGATGGGCCGAACATATAGCTAGAATCAAGGAACAAGAAAACTGTGTACAGAGGAATGTGGCAAGGAAAGACCTCGGAGAGTGGTCACTTCGAACACTGAGAAAGAGAGGGGAGGATAACATTAAGATGATTCATGGGGAGATGGGATATTATGAAAGTGGTTCAGAGTCGTGTCTCGTGGCAGACTTAGGTTAAGCTATTAAACATTCACGTCCTATTAACAAGGTTAGTTCAATGTAAGATTTGAGGCTTTCACGGCGGTGACTATGAAGAAAGCAGTCTTCTGGGATTTGGCACCGTGTACATGTGGTGCTTTTACCGGTTCTCACGGTCTCTTCGCTTGCGGATTTCTTATATTTTTCCTTCTACCCTGAAGATGGAGGCGATACGTTCCTCCGAAACGTCGGTTAACACCACATATACACGGTGCCAAATCCCAGAAGACTGCTTTCTTCAAGGTTAGTTCAACTTCGGTTTCCTTGACGGCTTCATATACGTACATTCCATTCGTTATATGAGGACCAACATATTTGGAAGTCATACTATAATCTGCCCAGTGTATGCATTATATATTTGTCTTACTTTTCGTTAGGCTCGAGAAAGGGAGGAGATAGAGCGAGACTGGAAGGCGGGTCTGCTGGAAGAAGAATGCTACAAGCGCCTTATCAAAGAATTGCTGAGCAGGCGCGAAGAAATCGAGCCTCACCCATTCTGGAGAATTATAGATGCTTCTGCTAGTCTCGACGGGCCTTGCAGATGCTCAGTACCTGAAGCCAAAGAAGGTGGAACACAAAGGCGCTGAAGTCGCAACACAGCGGATAGATTTCTGCTAAATTTCATTCTGACGCATCAACACACTGTGCTGTCACTGAACTAGACAATTAACTTGGATTTTGTAAATTTCAATATAGCCATATACTCGTATATTTGTGTGGGTTTTGAAGATTTATATTAATTTGTATTAATACATATATATGGAGATTATATTTATACTCTGTGTTTTGATAACATTAGAATAATACAATAAGCCAAGTAATTATATTACTGGAGTAGATTCCTTCTTGAGAAGGCACTTTGCTCAGCTACTCAAGAATTTCCCCAAATTTTATGGAACTCAAATTTCCATTACTGTGCTCACAAGAGCGCTTCACCATTCCCTATATTGAACCAGATTAATCCAGTCCATAACACCCCATCCCATACTTTTAGTATCCATTTCAATACCATCCTCCCACCTACGTCTATATCTTCCTTGTTATCGTTTTTCTTCTCAATTCCTAACAAAACACTGTAAAAATTCCTATTATCTCCCATGCGTCCTACATACACTGCTTATCTCATCTTCCTTCACTGGATCATTCTAATTACACGTACACTTCGAGAAGGTACACATTATGAGCTCCTCATTGTGTAGTTTCCACCAACCTCCCGTCAATTCATCTCTCTTCACTCCAAATATTCTCCTCAACAACCTGTTCTCAAACACCCTCAGTCTATCTTCCTTCCTGAAAGTCAGAACTAAAGTTTCACGCCCATACAGAACTACAGGAATAAGTATAGTTCTGTATACTTTAATCTTTACGGTTTTAGAATGCAGACGAGAAGATATAAGTTCTGAACTGAAAGGTAGCACGAATTATCTGAATTTAATCTGTTCTCAGTTTTCTCACGAATCAAATTACATAAATTAATTACTTTAAAAAAAATAGCTGTAATTTTCATGAACCTTCTGAAGATATGATTGAAAATTGGTGTCAGATGTGTGTATTAGTGAAAGGGGAGATTTTTATAGCACAATTTACCGGCCGTTAGGAGAAGCAAGAATTTTCGACTGGCCGAATCATTTCGTGTTCCATGTAGATCAAGCTTCTTTCTTCGTCTGAACTGTTCATAATATTACAGCTTTTCAGTTGAAACGTTGAAGGTCACTATATAAAGCATACAAGCAGTTAGGTGGCCCTGTACTTACTTACTTACTCATGGAGCTGAGCCCTTCTTGAGGAGCCGCCAATTCTGCAGCTACTCAAGAATTTTCCAGCATTTTATGGAAGCCGAATGTTCATTACCGTGTTCACAAGAGCCCTCCATTGGTCCCTATCCTGAGCCAGATCTATCGCATCCATACCAGCCCATCCGATCTCTCTAAGATCCATTTGTTAGGTGGCCTTTTGCTCAACCAAAACATTCAGAAGACGTATTGACAAGGGCATGTTTAGATGGAGGTGAGTGGTTAGCTTCACGCCCCTCCCGCTCCCTCCCAGAAAGAGGAGCCCAGGTGCGCACTGGCTAACTCACTCACTCATGGAGCTGAGCCCTTCTCCAGAAGTCGCCAATTGTGCAGCTACTCAAGAAATTCCCAGTGTTTTATAGAACTCGAAGGTTCACAAGAGCCCTCCACTGGTCCTTATCCTGAAACAGATCAATCCAATCCATACCGTCCCACCGTATATCTCTAGGATTCATTTTAATATTATCCGCCCACCTATGTCGTACTGGATGACATAGAAGGTATATTATTAAATCGCAAATATCGAACAGCGGTCTAGCGGTAATGATTTATACTTGTAGTCGGGAGGTGTCAGTTTTGAGTCTCTGCCGGGACACCGGCTATTCTCAGGACTTTCACCCTTTTTCTCAGTCCCTCTAAGTAAATGTCCAACTTGATGTCTCGACTGGGCCACGACCGCTTCCTTAAAAGTCTTCTGAAACCATCATTTTTTATTATCCTACAATTTGACGCCATACAGTCTCGCTACTGAAGAAGCGTCTCCAAACAACCAAAGAAAAGTATCGCAGATTAGGTATTAACCTTCTTAATGTTGCCATTTAAATTCCTGTGGGCCTTGGAATTGTAATAGAGAGATAATGGAAGGTAAGAAAGGTAATACTTCAATGTTTATAAGCAAGAGGCCACAGGTGTGGGTGGATAAAGTGACATGCTGTCCATAACTAACGGATAAATAAAGCCCCTGAAACAGTAGGAGCGCAGATGTAACATAAAGCTACAGTACTTACCGAGTACATTGATGATTACCGTATGCTTCTCGAAGGTTGGAGCTGGGAACCTACATATTGTCTGCTGGTGACCGGCTACCACCCTACTGAGTTGGTTTCATGTGTTTTGATATCCCTTTTTGTAGATGTCATGATGATGTCAATATCTGAACTATAAAGAGTCGCATAAGAGGGTGACTGATGAATGATGAATTGGAAAGGCTTAGGAAGGAATTTGTCGTGTTCTAATTCATGTACTCTCTCCGAATTTACCTGAAGGGCTGTGGAGAAACATGAAAAACCTAAATCAGGATAGGCGGTCTCACGGCAGAGATTCGAACTAAGCATCTCTCGATAAGAAGTACAGTGTTACCACTAGACAAACCTGTCGGTTCTATGTTTTAGTGTTTCGTTCTTTCGCGTATTAAGTATTTTTTGCTGGAGAAAGGATTACGTGACAGTGCTGAAGACATTAGGCAGAACAAAATGTGGAGATAATTGTTTATTTAATTTTTGCATGCTATAAAAGAGACGACGCGCTCAGAAATACCGGTTCTGTCGTAATACTTTTCTTAGGGTATGTTTGATGTTTTAGAATATTACCAAATATAACTTCTGTTGCTGTCCCTTGGAAGTTTAAACTAAATACATGTCTCTTTTCAGCCTTGGAAATTATGAGCAATCATGTAACTACATAAAAGAACGAATCATTTGTTTTCTAAATTGAATGTACTTTCGAAAAGTGAAAGATTTCACCCCAGTAATCCCCTGAGGTGTCAGGAAAAGTTAAGATCTTCAGTCTGTCGGACTAAATGTTAGAGGTATGTGTTGAACCAGATATATACTGAATTCTTTGCAGGCGCTGTAAGCACAGTGATGTAACGCGGTGACACTTCTGTTAAGTAGGATACAAGTTCACGGTAACTTTCCAGCAGGGCGCAGCATATGAAGTGGCACCTACATTACTACCTGCCATCTCTAAGTAGTAACACGTACTAAAACGTGACTTTCGTAAAATCGATATACCGTATACTACCGCAGATCCATTAGGTGTAGAGTAGGCACACAAAATCTAAGCGGAGGTTGAACGTCATTGTAAAAAATAGAAAAGAAAGAGAAAAACGATTTGCGCCTGCGCTCAGCATAACGTGTTCCGCTATTATTAATGAAAATAATACGGTAGTGATGATGCATATGGCATAGGTCACCCACTCAGACTTGTGCGCTGTACAAATTTCATCTCGATCAGAAATAAATGAATGTTTCGTACATATTCACTCATCAAAGTAACTAAAAACAGTGAACAGGAATAGTAAATCTGTACTGACAATGAAATGTGCAAAAGAGCAAATAGCTCCCTCGTGGAGACAAGCACAGAGCCGTAATCGAACCTCTTACAATCCTCGTACGCAGGAATCAATGACTCTTAAGCAACTCTCCTACATAAACCCCTACACTCAAAATACCAGCATTTATATCCTTGAAATGTGACATGGGTCGCTCCAAAGACTTCGTCTAAATTCGAGACTTCTTAAAATATTGCTGACGCACGTTCCTTCTAGGGGAAGGGTTATTAATACTGCAGCCGAACCCCAAGACAGAAGGCCAAATTGTGTGGGCTGTGAGCAGCTACTTGTTCAGTAGTACGAAAAAAACATTTTAATTAAAAAATATATAGACTGAGGGTGTTTGACAAGAGGGTGCTGAGAATATCTGGACAGAAAAGGAACAAAATGACGGGAGGTTGGGGAATAGCGCATATCGTTGAGCTTCATAACTTGTACTCTTCGCCATATATAAAAACACAGTCAGGGAAAATGAGATGGAAAGAGGAGGTAGCACGCATGAGAGGGTAGAGGAATGTATGCGTTGTTCTTCTGCGAAGTCCAGAAGGATAGAGAAAACTAGGAAGATCTAGAAGTAGGTAGGAGGATAATGTTAAACTGTACCGTAGAGAAATTGGGTGGAGTGGTATTGACTAGATTGATCTGGCTCAGGATAAGGATAAGTGGAGGACTCTTGTGGACACAGTAATTAATCTTCGGGTTCCATACAATGTTGGAAATTCTTGAGAGGCTGAGTCACTGTTGGTTTCTCAAGGATGTCATGGCCCCACGGGGATTGTTGGATAGTAATTTATATATTTGGCATGCACTGTCTTCGCTCGCTCGAAAGCCGGGATCGTGGGTTCGAATCCAACTCAGGGCATGGATGTTTGTGTGCGTTTATCTGTTTGTGTACAGGTAGAGGCCTTGCGACGAGTCCTACCGTATGTCTAAGAAGTAGTAAACAGCAGTGGAATGGAGAGTTTCATGGAGGTAGGCCTAGGCCCAAATGAGGGCTGTAGCGCCAAGGGGAAAAAAATTATATATTTAAAGGGTTTATTTGGACTGTTAACGATTTATGTGGCAAAATTCATTTTTCGAATTTTTGTTACTGGCGATCTAAATATATTTCGTGTCATGATGTCTGCTGACGACTGCAAACTACTAGAGTGTGTTATCGAACACGTAAAATATGGTTCACTGAAAATTATATGAAAAATAACATCCTTTAAATCAACATTTTTTCTTATTCGTAAAACTAATATTATCCATCGGAGTGGAGATGGATGGCTAAGTCGGTATAGGGACGGGCTGCCGACTGGACGGTGCGATTTCGACTCCCGGCAGGGATAAGATTTTGCTCTTCTCCACAGCATTCAGGAGGGCTCTGAGGACCACGCAGCCTTCTATCCAAAGAGTACTGGGGGTTCTTTCCTCGAGAAAGAAAGCGTAAAGCTGGTCTCTCAACTCCATATAGTGCCAAGGTCATTCCATTCCCATGCGTTTTCAAGGCAAAGTGCTTAATTAATTGAACACAGGGACTTTACCTTTTTAAAAAGGACAAATTTTAAATAATATGGTATTTAACTTTAAGTGTTGACTGTGTAAAAGTTTCTGGTGCTCTGTTATGTACTGCATTGTCATCGCCATGTTGA